AAATAAATACCGGTGTTACTGAGACAATATTGATTTAAAGATGAATAAAAAAGAAGCTTAGATTCAGCCCAATTATGTCTGTTCTAATTTGAGAGATAGATATGGTATGAGCCAGCCTGACCAATCAGGTCAAGAGGATTACTTTAGAAAGAATCATGTTGGTCCTGTAGTGCAAAAATACAAAGGGCAAACAAAAAAGACAATAACTATAAAAATGTAATTTCCTGAACAAAAGAGCATAGAAAAGATCATAAATCATAACTTCTACATCACCAAACTCAAATGTCAATCAACAACAAAAAAAAACCCCTCAAACCAGCGGTTACTGCATCTCTAATCTAAGATCTAATTTTATCTAAAGTATAGCATAAAAAAAGTTTCATAAAATAGTGGTTAAAAATCATGCTGGTGAAAAACATGTTCCTCTGTGTTCTAGCTGACAGTCATGGGGGCAATGAGAGGAGGCCTCATTGTCCCAGAGTGAAGAGCAGGTCAGAGGTCACAAAACTTGCAATGGTCAGTAGCTTACTGTATGTGAAAAGAATAGTTACAGCTAGAAATAAAGTGTGAACTGTTTACCAAGCTGACAGAACATGACAAATTCAAACAAAAGATCCATGTCTATAGTTCAAATAATGTTAGAAAAAAATACAAACTAAACCTCCAGGAAACATCTAGACTTCAAACGTCTTGGGAGTCCAGCAGAGAAAAACCACAGTGGAGCAGTTTTACAACCTCGAGAGGTCACAGATTACAACAGAGGAAGCAGAAAACAGCTGCTCCAGTCTCAGCGTAGCAGCACTAAAAACAACCTGTGATGCTGAGCCTCAGGATAGTAATTACTGTCAGCGCAGCGATGGCTAAAAGACATTTCTCCTGTGGTAAAAAAGAGCTTTTCAGTTTTCAGCACTGTGAGCTGTTAGAGAGACGCATATTTCCGGTGCTCCAGACACAAGAGGGGGAAAACAGAACACGGAGACTAACGAGGACAACAACATTCACTGAGAGACCAGCTTTCTACACATAAGGAATGGCTTTCACGGTTAAAGATGCAGAACAAGCTATTTTAAAATTTTGGATTTAAAATATAAATAAGAGCATCTAAAATGGGGAAGTGAGACATTTGGGGACAGAGAAAACTATGGTTACCTGCACACTGCAAAGTAATGCATGCTTGCTCCTTAACTAATGCTCGGTTATTCCATCCTAATTAACTCATTTGGGTGCAAAACCATCAATCCTACTATGCTATACTGATCGCATGACAATGTCTACGTGTCAGTTTAGCAATCACGCAAAATAAACACACAATCCCTGTCTGAACAAGTCATCCAGTGAATCCACAGAATCCCATATTAAAGTCTCGATGCGCTTTAACCACAGTGGGATATGATGCCATATCAACCAATACAGGAGTTGATTCAGGATTAAGTGTGAAAGCAGTATGAAAAACTGTACAACTTAGGCACAAAATTCACAACAGGTTCAACTGAGGAGCAGACTAAAATCTGCAATGCAAATATAATGCAAACTGTAATGTAAAACTACACAAAAAACTGGACTAAGAAGCAAAATTATTATTATTTTGGATAAAGCTTGGGATATATTAATGTTATTATATATTTATATTAAGAAAAAAAAACCTCTCTGTAATGATATGGCATTGTATTTAGCCAGTTAGCCTGGCAGTACGGCACTAGGTTAGCTTTTAGCATCAACAAACAATAACTGTCATATAAACAAATTTTGTGGGATTTATTTTTCATATCTTCAGTTACAGGCAAAGTTTTGTTTCTATAGAGACCCACACAATTTGTTGTGGAACATTTTTTTTCACTAAAAATATGAAGAACAATGGAGGCAAAATAAGTCTACATCTTATTTGAAAACCAAACAGCCCTGATGTATAGGTCAAAAAAAAAAAAAAAAAAAAAAGGAACACAAGGAGATATTTTTTAAAATTACCAACAAAAATCCTGCAGCTCTAAACGCAGACAAAGAAGTGAAACCACAGGAAGAAAAACTCACCAACTTTCACTCACTGACAGCAGATTTTCATCCTTTCGGACAGTCTGTGGAAACAGACAACCTTTCCCTTTTCCTTCT